GCCGAAAATTGTCCAACACGGCGGTGTCCGACACAATTTGGCACGCAGTAGCCAACCTTCCTTTTCTGTGCCCCTAAGATTGTTGTGCGTGGGGAACCGAAGTCCACGTCACCCTGCCCTGCAACAAACACTTTTCACCACAGGTTGACAAAATTTTTGGACTTATTCTCTCACGTGTACGGAGCAGACGTGGGAGACCGTCGATTAAATGCTGGGCTGCCCTCGTACAAACAAGGTTGACTACTGCGGGCCGAAAATTGTCCAACACGGCAGGGTCCGTCACATTTTGGCACGCAGTAGCCAACCTTCCTTTTCTGTGCCCCTAAGATTGCTGTGTCCCATTCTATATAAGGCGATTTGGCGTGGGGAGCCTCAGTCCACGTCACCCTGCCCTGCAACAAACAAGTTTCACCACAGCTTGACAAAACACATTGTCGTGTCATGTTACCATTACAGAGTCAGCCGCACACACCACTCAATCGCACAAAGATGAGCATTACAAATGTTTGTATAATTGTGTATCAAAAATAACAGAAGTTGTGTAATTATCAGACTGTATGGAGCATACGGCTCGGAATCCTCAGGCGGTGCACGTGCGTGCAAGCACTCGCTCTCTCTCTCTCTTCTGCAAAACTGAAGGTCTTCATATCTTTTTTTTTTTTTTTTTTCTCTCTCTCTCTGTCTGCCTCTCTCTCTATCCTACACTGACTGTGGCCTTCGATTTTGCATATCCTGCTTCGAAACATCTAAAAAAAGAACCTTTCGTTCCACCATTTGGTCATTGCCCCGCATCCTCCCTTCCATGTCTAAATGTCGCCAAACAGTCCCTCGTTGTTCAGGGTGCGGCGCACAGACTGTCGGTGCGCCTGTCCCCGTCTCCGACTGCTGTACTCTGAGGAAGAATGAACTCGATGTCGTAATCGTCATCCATTATTGTGGTGCTTGGAGGCCCAGGCCTGTGGACAGACGGCGTGCCAGAGCGAAAGAGCGTTGTTGCCTTCTCAGCCACGGATACAGAACGGTCCAGTTTGAAGACAGAAAAACTTATTACCGTGTCTCGGCTACGGAGAGATGAGACGATTGCTTGCTTTATAGATACCAATTTTTCTATCTGCTCCGCAGCTCGTGTCGTCTTTGTTGTCTGTTCTATCTCACATTGAATGACCATCTCCGCAAAAGCCAGTTGCTGCAGGGTGACGCCCAGGTTCCGGCATTCCTTCCTCATCTGAAAAACTTTTAAGAGTGCCGTCTTGAAAGCGGGGGCGCCCCACGGATCGTCGCCGCTCCGTCTCCACGTCTAGTTCTCCTTCATCTCGGTGCGCATCTTGTTGCGAGCGGGGAGGTGGTGGTCCATTTGCTGCGATCCGACGAGCGGAATCCCTTTTTCAGCCCAAAACCAATGTTTCAGCTGCCATGTAATCTCTACGCGGATCGTCGTCATTATTCTGTTGCATTCCCCTATGACAACTCGAATCCCGCACTCTGCTATGTGAGACCGCAGCCCTTCCTCTGCTGTCTCCCCTACCAGTTTCGCCGTCGCTTGCACCGCCGCGAAAAACGTGTCCTCTGTCGGGTACAGAGTTGCGTCGTTTGCCGCAGACAACGCAAAGGCTTTGGCGACGGAACGCAACAGCTTGCCCTTCATTTTCTTCGCGAATGCGGCGCCCTCGTCCTTCCGTCCTTGCACGGCTCCACCGCTTGCGCGCACTTTCGTTCGTGACGTTGCGATCGGTGGGAAACAGAAGACACAACGCACAGGAGAGTGTTAACAACTCAGCGCCTTGTTTTGAATACAGCATTTGCAAAATTGAAGATTCGGCTATTAGCTGTGCGTTTACAAAGACACTTCTTCGTGCGTAAAGGCGTGCACTGCGTGGGGGCACGGGATTATGTGATCGGAGTGGGAGGGGAGTCAGTGCGACGCGGGGTTTTTACCTTTTCCGGCGGCGCTGACGTGCTGTACGATTTGTCTGTCACCGACAAGCTCCTCGGTGTCGCTGCCGTTGCGTGTCTGCCGTTCTCCTTCTCTGCGCAGCGTCCTCGAAGGAAATGGCGAACCACCTCTTTCTGAAGCGGCGCTCTGGTCTTCGCCGGTTCTCTCGCTGGCCGACTTGCCGTCGCTGTCGTCGTCCTCATCGGTGTCTTGCGATTGTCTGCGGGAAGAATCGCTATCGTCTCCCTCGTTTCCTGGCTCCTCGTCCTCTGCACCATCTGACTTCTCTGGCGCGGAACGGTCGTGTTCCTCCTCTTCTTCCACTTGGGGTCCGCTGTGCCTGTCGCCTGACCCTCTAATATCGATTGTCTCCACTGTTCTGTCGTCTTTGTAGGATATTCTCTTCTTTGTTCTGCGGTGCGTAGTCGCGCTTCTATCATCCCGCGATCTTTTTTCCGGGGCCCTTGGCGGACGGTTCTCGGCGCCACTTTCGCGCTTTCCCCGGACGGGGATCGAGGAGGGCGACTCGTTACGTTCTTTCAGCGTTGAAATCTCTCGTGCACTCGAAGGGACTGTAACTTTCGATCCGGATTTGCGGGTGCGCTTGTGCTCCGTTTTCGCAGAGGGGCCGGCGCCGCTTCTGCGATGCTTTTTCGACTGCTTCTTTTCAGCCCTCGATTTCTTCCGGCACTTGTCCTTCTTTCTCGCGGCTTTCAAAGACCTGCACAGATCCTCGTATTTTGGCCTTGCAGCCATCACCCCTTTTTTCCCACATGCATCAAAGTGGAATAAGAACCACAAGTGCGTCAGTGATGTTGTTTGTCACGTAGAGAGAGAGAGAGAAAAAGAGAGAGAGAGAGAGAGAGAGAGAGAGAGAGAGAGAGAGAGAGAGAGAGAGAGAGAGAGA